CCCCCCAACTTTTTGCCACTACCAAAAAGTGGGGTTATACCAGATAGGGAGAGTTAAGAACTGCTTAATGGATTTTACTTGTGTTGCTTCTGAAACATTTACCCATGCTTAAAAACATCCTTCCAAAACATATCTGATATATTTTCTACTGGAAAACGCTCTGCTTCAAAAGTATGGATCCAGCTTTTACCATTATTTTTCAGTAATCTTCGTATCCAAGTGGACTTCAAACTAGAAATGAAAATATTGATGTTAATCATTTTAAGGCCTCCACTTTCATACTTTTGGATTATAGTTTTTCGTTTAATTTTGTCAACAGGAGATTGCCAAATGAAGTTAAAAAATGTTGATTTCAATACTACAATACGACCAATAGGGGTTAAAATCATACGTGACCATTGGGTTATACTGTTATTAGCAACTTTTGGGGCTTTCACATAATTCAAGCTTATAATCTCTTATAATAAGTTAACTGAAATATGAATACCTAGCAAATCAAATTTCGTTTCCCCCATTTTAATTTCCATCTATGTTGGTAGACATCTTCGCTGAATTTCTTGCTGCCAATCCAATAACTTTTGTTTTATCATTATTACCCGTTAGACCTGACATTTTACCAAAACAATCTAAAATACTTAAAGCTTCATTGATTGAGTCTCTAGATCCATCTAAAATTATTGAGGTATTATCTGCAAACTGTGAGAGTTTATAATCCTTATGTTTTATTTGTATACCCTTGATATCTGTATTGTTTTTGACCAAAATATTTCATCTACTAGTAAGAACAGATACGGGGAGACTGGATCACCCTGTCGACATCCTCTTTGTATCTCAAAAGAATCAGACAGTATACAATTTTGTGTTATTGCAGATTTTTTTTTATATAAAGTCTTGATCCATTTCTTAATGCTTTCACCAAAATTAAAAAAATCAATTACCTTGTATAAACAATTCCATGAAACCGAATCAAAAGCTTTTTCAAAATCAATGAATATTAGAAGTCCAGGTATATTGTTTGATTCAGTTTAATTCATAATTTCATAAATTGGTCTAGTGTTTTCACCCATATATCTACCATTTAAAAAAACTGTTTGTGTCTCGGAAATAATATGGTCTAGAACTGATTTAAGTCTGTTGGCTATAGAAGCTGATACTAGTTTATATACAACATTTAGCAAAGTAATTGGTCTCCAGTTTTTCATAAAATGCCTAAGCTTATCACCCTTTGTAATACAAGTTATAATTCCCTGTCTTTGTGTAATTGATAATTCACCCTTATTATACCCAAGATTCAAAGATCTAACAATAAACAAATCAAAGGATGAGTGTCTATAAGGCCCTTTTTTTGGGCCCCGGTATATTCGGATTTTTACCTCCTTATTTTGTTCAAAGATGTCCTATTGTATGACTAAGGTAAACTTTGACCGAAAGTGGGTTTCCTGGGGGTACCAAAAGGGGTAGGGTAAATCTCTAAGTAAAAAGGCATTGTGAGATAGGTATGAAACTTTCAACAAATTAAATATCATCATATAACTAATATTTATGCCAAGCTACATGCGTATCCCCAAATGCCTTTTATGTACAATCAGCGGATAAACATTGTAAATAACCAGAACATTTGATAAAACAATGTAATCGGTTAACTTTAACTTAAAATTGCCAGCAAATCAAACTTCATATATTAAATCAATCATTTAACAGTAGTTGTGGTGGGAAATGCCATTTTTGATTTGTAAGTTAACTTTGATAAGTAGAAAAACAAATCAGGACCTGGAACTCACTTCAGCCACAGGTGTTGAGCAAATATTATATCATATATATAATATACAATACTAACAATTGATATCTTATACTTATAGCATATAAGGGTGTCCTGCACATTTAAATTCACTTAAAATTGAGCGATGAGCGATATTTGAAATAGCCGAGTTTGAGATGTGTCCAGAAGCCATAACTCAGTATAAAACAGAAGGAAAGTATGCAGTCAATATGCAATTTATGTAAGGCTACTTAAATGAGTAAAGTTGTAAATTTCAAGTCAAAATATTAATTAGAAAGGAAGTTATTGAGAAATCAAAACACTTTTCATTTGGAAATTACCTAAAACAACCCCCTGTCTTAATCCTTCGTTTTATATAAACAATATTTAAGTGATGATTTAATTTCTGTCATTTTTCATTCTGTAACATATGCTTGTCTAATTTATACATGTTTTCAAAAACAGGAATGGTATTATTTTGGTTTTTAAGCTCATTTTGAAAACAGCAAACTATATTTGTGATTTACCCTACCCCTTTTGGTACCCCCAGAAACCCACTTTCGGTCAAAGTTTTACCTTAGTTTTTTCGCATGTCATACAATAGGACATCTTTGAACAAAATAGGGAGGTGAAAATCCGAATATACAAGGGCCCAAAAAAGGGCCTTATAGACACTCATCCTTTACCCAAAAGAATTTAAAAAACTCACTTGTATAGCCATCAGAACCAGATGAGTTAAACACATCTTCAACACATATAACTGGACAAGATTAAAGTCTAGCATTAATTAGTCTCGGATTTCAACAGTCATTAATGAAAGCTTTTCTGACTAACCTTTTAATCTTCTACGGAAGTAAGCGCGATGTTTGATTCCTTTTACGTATTCTCCCTTCAATCATCCTTGTAAATTTATGTCAAATTGTCTGGGTGGAACCTTACCGTTCAACGCATGGACTAAATACTGATAGGACACTGTTCATCTCTCGGGCTACTCGGCACACCTGATGCATTTCCACACAAAGCTAGCTCAGAATTACATGCAATTATGTCTGATTCCTATTTATTTAAGAGCAGAAAACCTCTTCGGAAATGTAGCGTACAGTTAAGGTAACTTATTTTGATATAGTCAGTCGCAGATTTCCCGATTTTCGGTGGTTTATCTTGATTACACCGTTCCATAGGTCCTGGTTTCATGCAATTATTCGCTATGGCTATACGGGTATGATGCCCCTACGCCAAGTGGCTGTATAATAGGAATAGATTCACTAACGACAAAATCGGTTTACCAGACTCCGATATCCATGGGATCCCAGTTTCCATTATACACATTTATGGATTTATCTTTCTTACGTCGGCATTAATTTACATGAATCACGAGGATCTCCCACTTGTTGAAAACGTCGACATATTTGAAAGTCCTTTCAAGAAAACAAGTCTGTCAAGCAAAGGACACAGTTTGTTCCCATAAGTAGGTCAACTGTCTTCTGAAAAGCAACCTTGCCCCTGATCTCAATATAGATCAACAGACATTGTTCTGGAATTTATCACTCTGACATGTATTTCATCATGGTCCTTGTAATTTTTCACAAACCATGCTCCACGAAAGTTCACAACCATATTATTATTTACATCGCCGTGAACATATCTTGGAACAGAAAGCTCTCATAAGAAGAGAACGAATAAGGTTTGGCAATGTACAGAGAGGAAACATGAAATGTTCTGAGAAAGGAAAACAAATTTTAAGATTGATCAAGGGATCTTTTGAATTCTTCAAAATTCACGTTCTATTTATTCAATCTCCGTGTC